CATTAACATTGAAGACAAGGACATTATGGTGGTATGCAGATGAATATAATCTAACATACAAGCTAAGGACTATATAACAATCAAGAAAGGAGGACATTAATCTATAAATATAATGTGAAGGACGCTGTAAAGTCCAATGGAGAAATTTAAAATAACATAAACATAATGACGATGCACACAATATGCAAGACAAAGACATTATGCTAAGAATATAGAAGTGATTATAGAAGTATATCAAGAATATATGTATGCCTTATTTGGGAATATTGCAAGTACATGTTCTATCTCTAAAATTAACTACAAAGGATCTCCCATCATCGTCAATAACTTGAAATTTAAAGAAACAAGTTAGTGTAACTATTATGATTAAAATAAGGACAAATTGTAATACTCACACTATATGTGGTGTATAATATCTACAATAGTTGATTGAAGGACAATGAAATAAGAAATGTTACTCTCTCTGTTCTAAAATTGACTTCCCAATTTGACTTTCTTAGCCAATTTTTTTGAATTTCAATCGTATATATTGGAAAAATTACATTGATTTCTCATATAAATTTAAAATTAATATATTCATTTTGAAAAATAGTTTTAAATAGTTTTTATTTTTTTAATATATATTTATATATAAATAAAAATATTAACGATTAATGTGTTGCATTAAAGACTATGAAAAGTCAAATGAGAAATTAATTTTAAGACGAATAAAGTATTTAAGTTAAAATATACTCCGTAATGGAGACCAACAAGAACTTACTAGAAGTTAATTATATCAAATTATTCATACTCCGTATGTACTAAGTTATTGTGGTCACCTTTTATTTTTAGAACTTTCGATTTTTTTTAGATGTATAATTTTATTTTTTAAAATTTTACTTCAGTTTTCATACAAATTAAATTAAAGATAAAAGTACACCATAATTGAAATTGGCATATTAAAGTAAAAACAAAATTTCTAAATAAAAAGGATAAAAACAGGGGAAGATGGGTCGATGAACTTGGAAAGAATCAGAAGATAATGGAACTCTTTCATTCCCTAAAGTTTAGGAGTAATAAATGATTCATTAAATCCTAATAAAGTAAAGAAAACCATAAATGAAACCGCCATACTAAGATTAAAAAAAACGGGAGTTCTAATTCAGGGGTAAAAATGGAACAGCCTCCGGAAAGAAGTCCTATTAATTGGAAAAAACTTAGTTGCTCCTATTTAGAGAAAACAACCCACTTTAAGTCTTAAATACAACAAATTTTACTTTTTCAAAATGAATGCTTATGTTCATGCGAGAATGAATACTATTTTATTTGGGATTGTCTACTACCCGAATATACCTATCTCTAGCTACTTTCGGATGTTCCCATCCACATTGACCCAATTAGCTCTTCATCAAAACCAGTTTTCCGGCAGTCTTCCCATCACCACGGAAGCTTCTCCTTCAAATCTTCAAGTCCTCATACTGTCTCTGGATCGACTTAGTGGTGAAATTCCAAGCTCCACCGCAAATGCTTCGATGCTGACCTTAGTGGAACTCAACAAGAACTCATTCACTGGCCTCATACCCAACTTGGGTCTCTTAAGATCCTTGCGAACACTTCGTCTTTGGGAAAACAATTTGAAAGGAGCACTATCTCCAACACAGCACCTGACCTTTCTCACTTCACTTACCAATTGTCCGAATTTGGAACATCTAGAAATAAGGGACAATCCACTCAATGCTATTCTCCCTCCTTCCGTAGGGAATTTGTCCAGCTCTCTTCAGTCTTTTATGTTTTCGGACTGCAATATCAATGGCCCTATTCCTCCCGGCTTTGGAAACTTAAAGAGTTTGCAATTTTTGGAGTTAGCTGAAAATCAGCTTACTGGCCTCCATCCCAACAACACTAAGAAAGTTAAGTTCTGCTGCCAGAATACTTCTCGGTGGAAATCGACTGCAAGGGCATATCCCCTCTGATCTTTGCTAACTAGGAAATGCGGGGTAGTTGAATCTTAGTATGAATGTGCTTACTGGCCCAATTTTTGAATGTTTATGTGAAATGGCCTCCTGAACAGGGTCTCCTTTGCCTCCAACAACCTGAGTTTCACAATACCTTCCACCTTCTGGAATCTAAGAGACTTGATCTATTTAGACTTGTCATCCAACAATCTCAGCAGTGAAGTTTCAATGCAGATTGGAAATTTGAAAGCAATCAATATCCTAGACATGTCTCCTAACCGTTTTCCGGTCATATTCCAACTTCAATCAAAGATTGCCTATCCTTGGTATATTTACCATTGGTGAGTAATCAGTTTACTGGATCCATCCCTGAATCTTTTGGGAATCTCGGAGGCTTGACAACGGTAGACCTCTCCAATAACAATCTTTCTCGAATTGTACCCAATTCTTTAGAAGCCATCACCGATCTTCAAGTTTTTAACGTGGCTCACAACAAATTGGGAGGAGAGATTCCAAACAGGGGCGTTTTGCCAGCTTCACTGTTCAATCTTTTGCAGACAACTCCGTAATTGGGAGAGGAGCTTTGGTTCAGTATTCAAAGCAACACTTTCTGACAGCTTAAACATTGCAGTGAAAGTGTTTAATTTGCAGCGAGCAAAATCTTTGATACTGAAAGTGAAATACTAAGCAGCATTCAGCACAAAAACTTAGTTTGAATCGTTGGCTGTTGTACTAACACGGAATTCAAAGCCTTGATTCTTGCATATATGCCGAATGGAAGCCTGGAAAAATGTTTGTATTTAGACAACTATCACTTTGGTTTGGTTCAGATATTGAACATTGCAATAGATGTGGCGTTAGCCTTGGAATATCTTCATCACAACCACACCTTTGCTGTTTTACATTGTGATTTAAAACCAAGCAATGTGTTGCTTGCTGAAAATATGATTGCTCATGTTGGTGACTTTGGCATTTCCACGCTCTTTGATGAAGGGGAGGCTATGACTCAGACTAAAACCTTTGCCACTGTCGGCTATGCAGCACCAGGTATGCTTCTTTATTTGTTTATTTCATACGTAATATTTTAGAGTTTAATTAATTTCTCCTCCTCCTCCTTATAGGAACCTTTTGGTAAGGTTATTTAGTGTCGGAAAGCATAAGCATTGCGTACACTTAAACAATTAAACCAGTGCTCTCAAAGTACAATATATATATTACTTGTTCACAGTTGATAACTAATGTGCGTAATGCATTTCTATAGTATAGATCTGAAGGGAAAGTATCCACATGCAGAGATGTGTACAGTTATGGGATAATGTTGGTGGAGATGTTTACGTGCAAGAAGCCGACAGATGATATGTTTGGTGGGGAAATGAGCATGAAGGAGTGGGTGATTGCAGCAATGTGAAAAATGCAACTTGTGAAATCGTGGCACCTGGTTTGCTTGTTTGAATGTGTCTCGTCTATTTTTGACTTGGACATAAAGTGCTTAGCCTTTTCACCAGACGAGAGGGTTAACATGATACGAGAAGTCGCCGCTCTGCACAAGATCAAAGCAAAAGCTCCTCCTGCACCAGCAGGGGTAGACAATATGCGCCGCGACAAATGATGAAATGAATGATGACTGAGCCAGTAGCTAGTGATGACATGAATATTTCAGTTGTCCGTGTGGTGTGGTTTCTATATCAGCAACCTCAAAGAAGGATCATTGCATTGTATATGAATGATATTATTTCAAAGCTAGTTTTTGTACCCAGACACTAGACGTGTATTATCACTTCATCCAGCATGTTATACATCTTTTACGTACAAAACAAGGATCTATATTGATGGGTACAATATAATGGAAATTGGTCCAATATGTTCAAGTCATGTATTATTCGTTTGTAATTACTTAGGCCAAATCTTCTTCCATGGCTTGAGTGGTAATAAGCCTACTCCCCAAAACAATGATCTATATTGATGGGTACAATATGATGGATATTGGTCCAATATGTTCAACTCATTTATTATTCGTTTGTAATTACTTAGGCCAAATCTTCTTCCCTGACTTGAGTGGTAATAAGCCTACTCTCCAGAATTTATGTAAAAATTCACCTAGATTCGAGCCACAACAGAAGCGGCCACATTGACTCTTTATTCGTCATTAAGTTGAGAATAGTATGAACAAATACTACATTATAATAGAGTCAATAGTACTCAAAAAAATTAGGCCAAAAACTTGTACTCCAAGTAGCTCGTGAAATATCTTGATCTTATCGGATTGGACTGATATAAATTTATTTTGCACTTTGAAAATAAGAGCGTAATGAATGAAACCAAATTTACTTCCACAGTTCAAAAAAAATCCTAATATATAAAGCCCACGTCAATTAAATTGCCATCAACTAAATTCATAGGTGTAGGTTGTACCGGTCATACAATACAGGATGACACCTTCTAATTGTTACAGGGTACTGTAATCCATTTAGGTAGTGTTTGACAATTAGTATTTCATTTCAATTCATGCATTTCAATTCCAAAATTTGAAATCTTTAATTTCAAATGACAAGAAGAGATGCATGGATTTCAAATTAAGCTTTGTTATTAATGAGAAGAATTTGACTCAAATCCAAATTCAAAATTTTGAAGTTTTCCAAACATGGAATTTGAGCTAAATCTGGATTCGAAATTCAAATCCATGTTCCCAAACATACCATCATACAATTTAAAATTCCTACGACCCTAAACCCCTGATCTCCGTTTGGAAAGAGCATATCAAACTCGCCACATTGTTCCCCAAGATGACAATTAGGCAATGTGAAGGTACCTACCTTGTCACAATGTCACCCAAACAACTAAAAATAGATCACCTCACCCCAACACCAGAGTATGGGTACATAGAGCTTGTTATTTTCAATTTATTCATTTTACTTATTCATATCAAAATCAGATTAAATCAAAAATAACTTTAAATACAACTACAATCATATCATATCCAAAATTTATTCTAAGTAGATCAAAACCAATCCGTTCAGGCAAAGAAAGCAAACCCATAATATCAAATTCACGTCAGAAAGCAGGTCCAAACAAAACATGTTCTCTATCAAGGATTACACAAAACTTATGACCCCTAAATAAATGTAAATGGAAGGCAATAACGCAGGAGCTATCAAAAGAGTAAGATACAAATTTTCTGGCAAAAGTGCATGTACTGTCAACACTGCAAGGTAAAAGATATTTGTCAGAGCCCAGCTTCATTACAAAATAATCAGCATGGTGCACCACAAACATCACGCACTACTGCCATAACCTGTGGCTGCTGCTGCTTGTGTTGTAGGTTGAGTAACTACATAACCACCCGACTGAGCAACTGATTGATCATAGCCAGTATGAGTAGCAGGAGGTGGAACCTGAGCATAGCATGGCTGGGCATTGTAAGTAGCAGCTGTACACTGATGAGAGATGCTACTACCGACATATGGATCTGCGGGTGGTGCTTGTGCCTGATATCCATAGCCTGCAACACTATTGTCAGCTGGTGGTTGTGAAGGATATGATGAACCATATGTAGTGGCAACAGGGAGTTGTTGCCCAGATTGAGCATATGCGGCAGGTGGCTGCTGCTGCTGCTGAGGATAAACAGGACCTGACGATAGTTGTTGTGGGTGTTGACTGTAACCATCCCCGGAAGGGGCAGCAGGACCACATGGTGTGCCCGCCAGGTATGCCTGCTGCATAGGCCCCCCAGTTGATGGGTAAGGATATTGTTGCATGTTGACACCATATCCATGAGATGATGCCATGTAGGTGGGAAGGACCTCAGCAGACTGGCTACCTCCCCTAGGTAGCTGCTGGCTGTAATGTTGCTGTTGGACATGAGACGCCTGAGGCTGCTGGCTGTAATGTTGCTGTTGGGCATGAGACGCCTGGGCCTGCTGCTGCATCATCAGACCATATGATGGAGGTTTACCATACTGATCGCCAGTGAAACCGCCTAGAGGATAAGCTGCCATTTGCTGTGGCATCGTGGGTGGTGGCATTTGACCAGGATATCCATAACTCTGTCCATGTGGTTGTGGCTGATGCTGCTGGTAGAAGGGTTGAGGTTGCCCATAACTGTAGTTTGCCTGTAAGATCATAGAGCGCACACATATATAGCTCAGGATGGAAGTATAATAAATTTGATAGAATAGTAAAATGACTGAAGCAGTTGGCTCAAAATAGGACCAACTTTCCCAAATAATCTAAAAGCTCAACCTGAGGTGGTGGTGGTGGACCTTGCTGCATAGGTGATGGCAGCCTATGCTCCCAACTTGGTCCAAACCCACTTCTGGGAGGAGGTTGATGTGAAGGGTAACTTCCATATACTGGAGCAGGGTGTTGTTGTGCACTAGGTGACGGATATGGTCCTCTCTGTCGAGAGTCATAACACGGATTCTGAACCAGACCATATGGTGGTGGTCCCCACTGTGGTGCAACGGGTCCACAGGGATGGAATGTCTGCTGACTATACCCCATAGAGACAGGAGATGCTCTTACACGCTGAAGGGAAAATAAAAATAAGAATAAGATAGCAACTCTAGCTAAGCATATAAAATGTACACAACGAAAATATAATGAATACCAAGCTTTATTTAAGATTGTATTTCTTCTTACGAAAAGCTCTTTTCTGATGTCATGCAATACAAAAGGTATACAACAGAGCTTGGTTCTTTCAAAACAAAGTAAATGCAGAAATAAAAAATAAAAAAAGGAGAGCGAACATATTAAGTTCTAGCCGCTAACATAGATCAAACCCATCAATAAATGAAGGTATACATACAAACATGATATGATATCATTCATTCAAGACAATGTGAACAAAGATAAAAAATGGAGCAACACTGAGAATTCACCTGGATAGATTTCTATTGCATAAACTACTACAAAGTTCACAAAGATCTCAAACAAAATAGAGTTAGCTTATAAATAGGATTGAAAAACTAAACATACAAGTTCATAAAACTATTACAAAAGCAGTGAACACCAAGTATATTGCAATTGAAAAAACTGAAATTTTACTCTTCACAAACTATCTTCCTCCAAACGAAACATATATAATGCTCTCAAAAGCAATGCACTCTAATAAGAATACATACCACAAATGTTGGAAAGACAGTATAATCCAGCATTGTAAATCTATTCACATAATTAATTTCAAGCCTAGAACATAGCAAAAGACCAACAGCAGAAAAAAGATCAGACTAAATTCGCACGAGAAAAGCAAAATGATAATTGGTGGAAGCTTTTTGTATGTCCCAAAGTTGTCAACATGCTGAATGGGGCACATGACGAAAAAGATAAAACCATAACCATTATTCCGGTCTTAAACTCCTACCAAACAATGGAATGATGTTCATCATGCATAGATGGCCGTTAAGAATTACATCAGTTTGAATCATCTTTTCAAATGAATATGGTGACCACTCAGGCTCACGATGTTAAATACAAATAGCATACAGTATTTTGTCTACGAAAATATGATACAGGGTATATTATTGTTCTAAAAGTATAAAGAAAACCATGTTAAATTAAGGAACAATATTTGCAAACTTCATTAGACACTTATATGAAAAGCTAACTTGGTTAATCAATGGCATTAGATCTTCAAATAAATATACAACTCAACAGTTGGTGTTTGAAGATGAGACCATGAAGAAATGGATGAAACCAAATCATGTTTATCAAAAAGTGAGTAAGAAGATGGCACTATGCATGAAGAAATGGATAAAACCAAGTTAGCTTTGTCAAAAAGTGAGTGAAAAGATGCCACTGTGCATATTCCTATTCAATATATGGTGTATACCAACATAGCACCCAGGAAAGAATAATGTAGTCTTTAGTACTACAATTATTTTGGGGTTAGGTCACAAAGCAATCTTACCAACTATACAAAGCCTGATATCATGTGCACTAATGCTCGATACCTCTCTTCTGAAGATGAGAGTGAATAGTTGTCTATTGCTACACGAAGAAGGCAATGCTGACCTGGTGTGAAAAGCAAAATCCAAATCTGCATTTTTAAAGCCAACCAACTGGAATTGGCACCTTCAACATGAAAAACATCATGGCAACCGACATCTCATTTCAATATATGACCACCTTTACTGCATTAAGTGACCTTGGAATATACAATTTTTTAATAGAAAAATCTTCTGATCCTATTAGGAGACAATCTTTCTAAGACATGACCAAATGCATCCCAAATAAAGCAATCACTGCAAGTATGACAAGATCTAGCAGAGGGAGAAGATGTATTAGGTCAGAAAGTCATAACACTAGAAAAACTATGATTCCATCTGAGTAAACCACGTGATTGATTTCAAATATCATATAACCTCCTCTTTGAGCACATGGCGACATGAAAACTTATATCAATTTCTTTTATTAATCAAATATTCGTGCATGCTCTTGCAGACTTGCACATACAGAAAAAACAATAAATTACATTATTACAATAAAAGAAGTGATGAAAAGATAAGAGCTAAGCATGACTTCATTATGTTATACCTACAAACAAAAAGATAAACATGCATGTTGGATGACATTATTCATTCAACCTATATGCAATTCAGCATTCACAATAGACCAAATAACATCAATTTTAACTTAACAAGTCATATAGTCAAAATATCACAGAGATGATTGATCTTTGTATACCAGAAAAAGAAACAGCAAACTAAATAAAGCAGGTGTATTCATGCATCAGAAATAAGAACAGTACTTCTGACTAAACGTCAAAAGTAAAATATGTCAGACCAATCATGGCTTATATAAAAAGAATATTTTAAAATGAGTACAGACCTGATCCATGACTTCTTGTATCATTTCTCGGGCCCTCTCAATCTGCTTTCTTTCACCACTAACTCGTATTGTTCTTTCTTTAACTTGTTCTCCATCAGGAAGCTGTACAAGCTAAAAGAAAAAGAATAACAAATAAATAAAAAAACAAATAAGTAAACAAGGCCGGGCTGAAGGTAAAATCCCAACCCTTCATGATTTGTTTCTATTCCTAGTTTTGGCTTATTCTTTATATCCTTTTTTCTTAAAATAAGGTGCAACCATGCTACTATGGCCAATCCTTGATGAATTTAAGATGTGCTGCGAATCACACCACACGCGTTAGGCGTGTACACATTTAACAACAATACGGGCACAGATGCGCAATTAGGTGACACCAAAACATCACCCGCATCAGATGGGAACTTGAGGCCATGTGCGCCTGGACCAATAAATTGATAGCATTGGGCAAAATTAAATCGTAAAGGATATGATCTTTTTGCTATTAGGCCAATAAATAATTATTTATCCGACTCCGTATGTAGAAATTATCAACTCACGCTTAGCAATCATTACACAATACCTGAATGCGTGCTCCTGATCTTGCTTGAAGGTTTTTAATAGTTTCCCCACTTTTTCCAATAATTAAACCAACCTGGACCAATAAAATGCAAGCATCTTTTAATATACAAAGCCAAAGGCGAAAGATAAACAGTGTTTTCTCCCGCCTAAGGATTTCGGGTTCGGGTTCGGGTAAATAATACAATGGTCCATCGGGTTTGGGCGAGAATGGTTGAATTAAATGGATAGCTTTTTGGAAAGTCGTAACAACATCATTACTCTCGCATTGGGTAATGTATTCAGGCGTGAGGTATGATGACCTTTGAATTGGGAGGTGTGTGTTGGCGGCTACGTTTACCTTTTACAGGTGGAATCCGGGAACCAATAAATGTGTAAATGGGCTGGCACATTAAGGCACGTTAAATCATGCAGAGCAAGGCTGAATATACACGCCTTTTGAGGCATGGACATAATTACACATGAATTTTAAATCTTTAGGTTCCCGTGCAAAGTATTTACATTGCACAATCACATCCCAACTATTTTCCACACTATAAATACAAGTTCTCATTACAATTACATTGTCAGATCCACACCATTTCATTTTCTTTTTTTATTTTTTGCTTTTATGAACTATCAACAAAAAAGTTCTAGCAACACATTTCTCCAGTAGGTTCATGTTTCAAATCTGGGGTGCTTCATTCCAGGAGTAAAAAATGGCTCTTTGCACCATTTCCTCATATACATGATGCAAAGAAAACAAATACAGAGTAATACTCAGGGGCATTGAAGTGTTTGTCCTGCATCAATTGAGATTTCATACATATATTACTTATGAGTTGAATGTTTGTTCTAAATGTTAAAACAAATCTATGTAATTTGCTACTAATGAGTTTTTACCTTGAATATGTTTCTAGAGTATCTTCATAATAAAATGGTGAGACCTGCACTATTTTAGAATGTTAAATTGGAACTTTAGTGTTCTGATCTACATGGTAGGTAGAAGATACTCATTTAGTTTGATTACTAATTTTAATGTTTATTGTCTACTTCCCATGTTCCCAATGATCAATATGTTCGATCTAATTCCTTGGTGTTGTCAATTTATAATTTTGGAAGTTTTTTAAAAAATACTATTTAAAATAGAAAAATTAAAACTTTTAGAATAATAATAAGCTCAAAATTATACTCCGTAAATTTTAAGAAATTTGTACATCAAAAAAAGAAAAATATAATAGCTCTGTGTTTACATGTAAAACAAATACAGTTCTTAGATTTATTATCATGATCTGCATGTGAAAGTTTCATCTCTTTAAATCACAAATTTCTAAAAACATTACAGAGTATAAAATTTCTAAACATATATTCAAAGGTCTAATATTACTTTCACCATTATAGAGAAAAAATGGAAAATACACATGAAACAAAATTACACACTTCAAACATCTCTAGAGCTGCATGTGAACTTGCAGATCTAATGAAACACTCATCACACATGACTTCAAACATCTGTAGATCTCCATATGAACTTGCATATCTAAGGAAAAACTAAAAAATTGGGACTATTGAAAAAAAATTCAAAAGAAAAATAATAGATCAAGAAATTGCTTGGGCACACGATAAGGAAGAGGAATAGGTAGGTATAAGATCACCAAATCTAGATATAGTTTATTATAGATCGAGAAATTGCTTGGCCACACGATAAGGAAGAGGAGTAGGTAGGTATAAAATCACCAAATCTAGATATAGTTCATTATAAAATTTGGAAGAAAGCTAACCGCCGTAAATGATTTAGCATTCCGGCATTTAAAACAAAGATGGCGAGGCAACCGGGGGGAAACCTCCCCTTTTTCGTAGTCCGTTCGCCTGAATAGAATGAGAAAAAACCCTAGAGAGACAGAGAGGGGACATCAAGAAGGGGCTTTGGGTGGTAGGTCGGTGAAATGAGGATGAGTGGTAAGTTGAGTGTTTTAGGAAAAAGGATGAGCCACATCCCCCGAGGGCGTTCTCAGACCCAACCGGACGGTCGCTGAGAGGAGTAATTAGACTTTGGTTGCAGATTGGTGACAAAGGGTCGAGTATTTTAGGCGTTGGCCGCGTGGAAGATACAGAGTAAATGAATTCATTATTTTTTTGGGTTTTGGGTACATGCTACAGTGGACTATATTTTTTAGTGGGCCGCATTCTAACCTATACAGAGTACTTTAACACCTTTTTTTCAAAATTTGATGAACAAATATTTTTTACGAATACATTAAATGTGTTTAATCTTGGCAAAAAATGTATTTAATGAAATGTTATAAAAAGTAATAGTGTAAACATAATAAAAAATGTATGGTTAGCATCTGATTAAATGTGTGAGGAATTTTTGGATGATTGTTTGAGTCATTGTTCAGAGAAACTAAAAAGATTTTGAAGAAAATAAAACTCCCTCCGCCTAAAATTAACTTCCCAGTTTGACTTTTGTGGTCAATTTTTTTAACTTTGACTGCATATTACGAAAAAATACTTTAAATTATCATATAAATTTAATTTCAATAGATTCATTTTGAAACATAATTTTGAAATTTTTTATTTTTATAATTTATATAAAAATAGAAATAGTAATGATCAAAATGTTGTATTGAAGACCGTGAATATTTAAATGTATAGTTACTTTTAGGATGAAGGAGTAATAGTTCAGAAAGAATGAAAGGAGATGAAGAAACTAGAGAAATCACGAAAAAATAGAAGGAACACGAAGAACTAAAAAAATTGGAAGAAAATGAAAAAATTGGGAGGAAATGAAAAAAACTGCAATTTAAGAGTTTAATCCCAAAAGAAGGTGTGCTCTAAATACATTTACTTTACAAAATCACCATTCACACACACTCTCCTTTTCACCATACATTTTCCATCTTTTCAATCACTTTTTCACTCTCCATTTTAGCTCAACTTTTTCCATCTTTTAAACCATTTTTTCAGTCTCTCTCCTTTTCTATTAACTTTTATTTGCCTTAAAACCTATGAAGTAAAACTAAGACGTTAATTTTGAGGATGGGAAATTATCATCTTTGGCAATAAGAATATTTTCTTTTATCAGTTATATCATAAAAAAGCATATGCAAACAAAACTTATCAGAATATCAAAATAGTAAAGAGGATGGTACTTTAGGGAGTGAGGGAGAATATGATTACAGAAAAATACCTAATGAAATACCTTTTTTTTTGTATCTTTCTATTTTCAATTGAAACCCCGTCCTGTACCATTTTGGAAAGGATTTGATTCGTTTCGGAATATTATTTACTAGAACCATTTGAAAACTCATTTTTCGATTCCGTAAATGTTAGTCCGATTCAGAACAATGACGGGCCGATATTTATATTCACCCCTATATAGAGATATACTCCCTCCGTCCTATAATGATCTTCCCGGTTCGCAAAACGAAGAAAAATCCCAAGTTTTTTCAATCCATTTTATTTAAATATTGGTATAGAAATAAAAAATAAAACATACATATTTAAAAACTACACCAAAAGTTCAACAAAACAAGTGGTGACAAGAATATTTTATTTTATCATATAGGCCATGAAAAAACACAAATAAATATAAATTCCCGTGAAGTTGGAATAATGCTCTGGGAAGATCATTATAGGACGGAGGGAGTATATAACATTAAGATCAATCTTTTTGTCCGTGCATTGCACGGGCAGAGAATCTAGTGCAACATAACCTCAATCAGATAAAAAAAATAGGGAGATGTTGAAAAAAAGATATGCTCGTTAGCATAAAGAAGGTGTAGAAATGAAACCACAAACCTTCTCAATTGGAACTTTCATCTCAATCTGATCTCCAACCACAGATTGCACAGGGTTAAATCCCTTAGCCACGAGGGAAGGAGAGCCTCCGGCATCAGCCTATAGAAGAAAACATCCATTTATGAATCCACAATTGTACAAAATATTGATGGAATGGGTCAACAAAAGAGTAACAATATACTAAACATCATAACATAAACCAATTTTATAAGATCAACAAAAGAGTAACACTATAATAAACACCATACCTCAGCTATGACATCCTTTATCAATTTTTCAGCCTTGACTACACTATCCAATGTTCCTATGAGCTCAACAGGCCTAGTTGTAGAATGAGGGTCAGAATCAGAATCACGGGTGATTTGAATCTTGGCACCAGAATTGAATTGCAGATGTCGAATAGTTTCTCCGCCTTTGCCAATGATCACACCAACCTGTGCCCACCACAAAATAAGGAAAAGGAATCCATTAGATATTACAAAAAAGACATTTTGAAGCAGTTGCAGAGGGTAGGGATCCTTGAACCTTGTTATTGGGGACCTCCAATATGTGTGATACTGTTTGGGTCTCCATTGTTATATTTTTATCTTGATCATTTGGAGCACCTGCTTGTTGAGGGAGACTAGAAGAGGGCTCATGAACTTCACCTTTACATGGTTCTTCTGTATTATAATATTTCTGAAGTTCGTCATTATTGTTGGATTCTTGAACATCACTTGTTTCTAAATCATTAATTGGAGCAAGTTGTTCACTGATAGTAGTCTCCTGAGCTTCATTATCCACCTTGGGGGCATCATCCAGCTGTCTACAATGATCCAAACTAACTGGTTTCTCTCCAGAATAGTCCACTTCTGACTCATGCCCTTTCTTCTCTTCTATGTGTATATCATCCACCTCAGGGCCATTATCCAACTGTATATTACTATCCAAACAGGGTGACTTCTCTACAGTATCATCCTCTTTTGACTCCCCCCTTTTCTTCTCTTCTCTGTGTCCATTCTCAGCACCTGGACATCCAGAAAAATAGCAGGAAGATAATAACATGTAGATATTCTATCTTGTAGTTTACCTGCTTGGATTCAGTAAGTATATTACCAAACCCAACCAAAACAAACATACCCCGTATTTCGAAGGTCTGGGGAAAAGTTGAATCCAGACCATACCTCTACTACGTTTTGAACTCTCAAAAGAAAATTAATCGTCATATGGTGTATCCATTTGCTTAAGAGATGATACAAGCTGGGATATTAGTTTTAAGAAGATTTCACTCAAATTGTCACAAATACATAAAGGAAAAGTTTCATATTTGCAAGTTAAATGCAAGCAGAGAACGCATTAACAGATAACCACATAGCTTTGCGCTCAATACAAGGAAACTAGGTAGAATACCTATGTCATCAACTTTATCCTCAAGGCGAAGTCGCTTGGCTTCAGACCCATCAACATGAGCTTCCTTTTCACCTTTTCCGCCCTCAATCACCTCAGCTTTGGGGTTTTCGGCTGAATCTGAAACGGCTTCCACCTTCAGGACGGACTCGCCTGGTGCTGCGTGTTTCAAATCCTCAAGCTTCCGTTTGTGATTGTCAGAGTTCGACACCGATGTCGTCGTCTCGGCCGCAACCACAACTTCCTCATCCGCCATTGAGATCCGGACGTTACTGAAAACCCTAACGAACGATGGTGAACCGTTTGAATTCAAGAGGTACCGTACATCTATTTAGTACTCATTTCGAAATAAAGTAGTACTCATTCTCGCACAAGCATAATAGTTCATTTGAAAAATGTGGTACTCATTCTGAAATAACGCAGTACTCATTCAGAAATAACGTCGTCTTCATTTTCACAAATTTATTCAATATTCATTTACGTATAACATAACATTCATTCTAAAACACATTAGTATTCATTCCCATATAACCTAGTACTCAATCTTAAACAACCTACCATTCATACGGGAAATCGCGAAGAAAAGATCCAGAGCAACTGGAATAGCGAAGAAAAAATCGGGAGCAACTGGAATCGCGATCAGATCTTCACATATCCAAGCAGCTATCGCTGATCAGACCTTCATCCTTCAATTGCCGATCGGACTTCCAAACAGTCTCCATCTTCATCGTAAATCGCCGATTGGACCTTCGGGCAACCTAGTAATTGCCGATCGATCGCGCAGCCTGCTTCTCCTTCATGGTCGGCCGTTCTTGCAGTGGCGTTTGCCCTAATTAGTTGCCGGATGTACGGTTCTTCCCGTACATCCGGATGTACGATATAATTTGCGGAGAGGCTTGTATGTAGTAAATGGTTAGGTTATATAATTGCAGCTCACATTTGTAATGCGTCACCACATGGAATGATTGCATTTCTAATTTTTTTAATAAATAATTACTCTCTCTCTCCGAAAATAAACTTTACGTTTCTTCTTTTTCTACGTCCAAAAATAAAATTTAGATTTCCAATTTTAAACTACTTTCTTCCAAAAATACTCTTAACCTTTTCTAATTCCCAACCTTTCCACTCCCCATTTCTTATCTGTCTCTTCCTCTCCTCATTTACTTAATGTCTTATCTGTTGATAGGCGTGTCGTAGCACCTACAAATTAATTTATTATTTTCCTTAACTCTTAACTCCCTTTATGAATTAATATTAATTAAAACATATAGATAGGGCAAGTAAGGGTCGATCCCACGAGGAAAGATACTTTTTAGGCTATGAAAATCAGTTTACTCTGTCACATTTATTGAATAAAAACTGACTAAAATCTAAAACCTAAACTAAAGGATATGGGGGGTTTGAATGATAATTCTAAAAAGAAAAAAATGCAAATAAAATAAAGATAAAGATAACAGTCTAGAGATGGAACCACAGCAGCACCTCGAATTCAGAAGACATTCAGGGAGAAACAAACACACAAACAAACACGCATTTAAACTTTATAAAAACGTAGACAGTAATAATTAACTTAAACCATTTTGAAAATACTTATAATTTTTAATAGAAAATAAATTGAACAAATCTGATTAATCCATTAATTATGCCTTGATTCTGAAATTAAACTGCTAATTAAACTCAGGGTTAGGCTGAAGAAGAGGTCCACCAACGGCTCTTC